TTTGATTGAGCGTGGGGTACCTTTCCGTACCCTGGTGTGGAAAAGTATGATGCCTAAGCCCCCCCCAAGTATGCCCGTCATCTATCAGCTCCCTTCTCGTGGCCCCAATTATGTTTTCAGCAAGCGCGACTTTGATAGCTATATTCACCTCCGAGAGATTCTGGTCCGTCAACCACGTATCCGTGCAGCTCTTCTTCGAGGGGGGATGCCATGGCGGTTAGTCATCAGCTTTACGCATGCTGACAAAATATTGGGTGGTCCTGTGGGTGGTGGTCCCATGCGAGAAGTTCATCACCCTTCTGGTGAGACGCTTGTCGACGATGACCTAACAGATTTGGAACTGGATTTGTTATGCGGGACATATATTTGTGACACAGGTATGTAATTATACATTGAGCGAATCAGCAACTGAAAACTCTTCTTCTTTACAGGGCAAGGTCCCGTCATAGCATACAAATCTTGGTTCCCACCAGCTTTTTTCTTTGAGAAGAAAGATTGTGCGGAGAACTATGGCCAGTGGACTGATTACCGGGAAGCCAGATATAGGGGTCGTTTGTCGGATATTGGGGCTCAACCAGAGCCTGTGTCAAGATGGCGGGACCAGTTGAGGGGTTTAAAAGAGACGCGCTTGCTCAATCAAAACATGGAAAAGCTGGCACTTAAGTTCTTGAACGAACACCATCCTGACATGGCACACCTCACTTGCGAATGGATCCCAAAAGAGAGATGACATTTGGTTATGATTCACATACTGTATCATCCATCGATCGCGCAACCGATTTGTTTTCTTGGACTTCATCTTTGATTTCAAGGTAGTCTAGATCACGTGCAGGCAGTCAACTCAGACGATTGTTACAATTGTACGTTTCCAAAATCAAACGCAAAAGGTGTGAGATGAAAGCAGTTCGATTGCATACTCATATGGGTTGCAAAGCGTCTCTCAATGTATTCAGCTCTTGCTAGTTCCCGGAGTTCTACCGTCCCAAAGACTGCATTTGCAAGTGCCGTTCGCACTGTACCATCTACAATTCATCAACAGGGGTTTACGAAGGGGGGGGGGTCACTGGTTGAGTCGCAGTACTCGTGATCGCCATAGTCGAGATGATCGGAGGCTTGAGAGAGCTGGTCTCACCACTGGTGTTGACGTTCAAACATGTTTCTACCCCTGGCCAACAGATTTTAACTGGGATCCAACTAATCAGAGAGGAGTTGGATCTTCGTTGCCAGCTCCCCGTCTCTAGCCCTATGACTCTGTTCACTTTCGCCAATGATCCCCTCACTCACGGAGACTATACCTTTCCAGCTGAAGCAGATATAGTATGACCTAACTCAGGTGTACATGCACTTAGGCCTGACTGCTATGCCAACGGCGCTTTCCTCGAGACGGAACTTCGCTTTTGCGAGCTTCTTGCCAGCCTAAACAGAATGGAATCCACAGAGGAGACAGATGTGCTCACTGACCATCTACGTGATGAACTGTAGAGAAAGAGCAGCAATGGGTTCTACAGCGGTCAGCCGCAGATGTCGGACGCCTGGCGTTGGTGGTGCAATCTCTGTGACTTAACAAACAAAAGGAACTCACCTACACCTTCATCGGTGGGAACGCTATGCAACAAGAGAAAGTCAAGACTGTCGTCCAAGAGTGGGTGAAGTGTGTTAACTCAAGCTCACTTTTGTCGCCAACGGCAACGCTGCCATTCGTATCAGTTTCGATCCTCGCTCGGGCTCTTGATCCTACGTTGGGAACGAAGTCAGCCTCATCAACGCCAACGAGAACACGATGAACTTGGGTTGGATCGGTAGTTCAAATGACGCAATTACCAAATCGGGAAAGGCGTCATTTCGCACAAATTCGGCCATTGTACACGATCATGCACGAGCACCAGTGTCCTGTCTGTGGTGCTGTTGGCCATGGTAGCCCAGTATTTCCCCACTCCCCATGTAGTTGTGGCTTCTCTTGAACTCGCGCTCCGACGCTCTTCTTACTTTTCTAGGCCTTGGGAAGTTGAGAGTTTGAGAGGCCAGTGCATGGATGGAGGGCGGAGGTACTCGTTCAACCTGAGTACAACCTACATGCTTTGGCAGCAAGCCGTGTCAAATAACTCTTTCCTTCAATTGTCCACTGGCATCTTGTTAATATTTCAACAGGTTCTAGTTGATGATTAATTCAAAGAATGAAATAGGCTGTGAGTCTCCTATTTGCCTTTGGATCATTAGGTAGTTGTCGATCTTCTTTTGCAGTTGTGCCAGTGGGTGAGTGATCTCCGCCCCTTGTCAGAGTATCTGATATCCACCGTTTGCTAGGTTATGTTGATTTGATTATGTCTGTCAG